ATTTTTGTCCAAACTTTTAAAGGTTTTTTTTTCAGCTCAACAACTTTCATGTCCATTAAAAAAAACATGTATGTGTGTTTTATACTAAAATGCGTTGGTTAAAGGAATCCACCCCCCCCCCCCCCCCCCCCCCCAAACAAAAAAAGAAAATTTTCAGTTTACAAGAACGCTCAATCTGTAGAAATAACCAAACTTTGGAAGCTTTTTTCTCGCTTATTTTACATCTTTGATCAGACCTCTCTGATTTCCTTCAGTTGCAAATATCTCAACTTCTATTCTGAATAGATGAGTCTGGACAAATGAAGATGATACCAATATCTCCACACGCCCAAAAATTGAAGAGTGACTGATTCCACCCCGTCTTGACTCTTCGCTTTTTCAAAATTACAAAATTCTATCTGAACAGCACCAAGTTTTGAGAATTATGCCGTAAAACATTTCGAGTTTCACATCGTGTCAAACATTTTTTAATGCAGTTCGTTGAATATCGTGAAAGTGACTCCGAATAATGTTTCAATTTTGACAGAGCAGATAGAACATTATTTGGTTTCTGACGTCATGATGTTAGTATAACACAAAAGGCCAAAAATGTCAGATAAAACTGTGTAATTCCGTGGTAGCGACCTGTTTATGATGTAAATCTAAATCATGTTACAAGCACTGAATTTCAGTCACAAAAGACATAAGTCATCACATGATGAAACTGACATTTTACGGAACGTGGGTGTTATTCGTAATACTTTTGTGCTTGGAGATTTTATTTTCAACAGCTGTGACCAAAATTGCCAAAAGTAGAAAATGATGTCAAAACAAATTAGCATTCAGATGTTGAATATCTGTGGTGCTTTTAAAATTGTGAAATGGTATAGGTTTAAAAACCCTATCAACACTACTTGTATAAGGCTATTTAAGAGGCGGGACCTCCGAGTTTAACGTCAGTCTCCGAAAGGACCGCTGGTACTTTCAGTTAATCCCACGCAGCAGCATGGTCATTACGAACAAGACAATATTGTTGTTTTATTGACAATCTATCTACAAAATCCACTAAAATAAACTTGTTAAAATACGTTGTGCACGTACATTAATTATCAGCTATTTGAAGAAATCATTATATCATGCAATATAATATTCCCTTCTGAATAAATGCCCCCCCCCCCCCCACCTAACCCCACCCCCACCTGCAAGCACAACACAATACAAAAGACCTTTATCGCAAATTCCCTTTCGACACACCCACACCCGCCTCCCCGTACCTAGTAAGATTCATGCTTCATTTTCACAGATTCACTTCATACACTTTATACGGATGTCAAAACCACCCCATTAATTAATAAATAGATAAATAAATAAATAATAAATACATTAATACATTAATTAATCATTAATTGAAATTAATGATTAATTAATTTGAAATACTTGATTGATTAATTAATTTTTATTTATTTATTAATTGTTAACTAATTAAAGTATAGATAATTAATTAATTAATTAATTAATTAATTAATTAATACAAGAAATAATTCAATAAATCAATAAATCAATACAAGAAAGAAAGAAAGAAAGAAGCAAACATACAAACAAACAAACAAACACAGAAATAACACTCTTAATTTCCCCAATGTTGCTCGGCAGTTGTCAATATCTTTCAGCATCTGTCAACAGCCGTATCAGATGTAATTAAAACTCTCGATTCGCAGCATCGAACGCCAATTAGGGAGTGTGAGATTAGATCTAGTAACCTGTGGTATCTGTTAAGGGCCATTTCAATCGGGCATTAGATTTTAATCACCAACATATAAAGCTGATCGTTGGTACCTGGTTTTCACTCATACACATCGTTCTGCTGCGACTCTGCTTCAACTATATACGATAAATTCTCAACCGCACTTTGCAAGGTAGGTTTATCGCTTATTTGTTAGGATCAAAGATCGTGTATAGAAGATAGTTCATTCAGCCAAAAAGTGTCTGCAGAAGTCTGCGCTTTGCTTCAGATGGCGCTGCAGTCTTTGTTTTGATGCTTTCTTTCGTTTTTCCAGAAAAAGAATAGGAATAACATATCTTATTAGTTCACCTTTATTGTTTTTCACACAAGTAGGGTAACCCGCGCTTTTTCGCCACAGAATTTTGAGGAAACTTTTTAAATTGGCTTTAAGAGTGGAGGGAACTATCTTGCTATGTACGATCTTTGTTAGAGTTTAACGTATGTGTGGTTGGTGGGTGCTGTGTTGTGGCTTGCTCTTTTTTCGTTTAAACATCAATCGTCGTTATCTCCTTTCCTTCTTTTCTTTGTATGTAAGTTTATAGTAACGCCTCTAGTCTTCGGTTCTTACTTGACTTTAAAGTGTTGCAAGTGCCGTAAAGCTCTCACCGAAATTAAACGAGAGTTGACGTTTGTAATGCTTTTTTGTTTTTCTTTAGAAAGGGCTTTATGGCACTTGCAAAACAATACGGCCATACAAGTGCCGAAGATAAGAGGTGTTACAAGAAAGTAACAAATTCA